TTCAGCAGAGCGACTTCCGAAAGCACTGATTGCTGTACCACACATCGATCTGTCTGGCGAAGCTGAAACATCGGCCTGACCTTGGAAGGATGGATTTTGCAGATGGAAAAGAGATGGTTAAGGATCTCTGGATGCTGAAGTAACAAATTATTTTAAAAGCTGCAGGCCTCTGGATGGTATTTAATTATATTTTCAACCCACCGCTGCCACTGCCTACAAGGTGGCCCACAGCGGTGCAGTGACACAGGGATGCCAGGGGCCATGGTACTGCCATGATCTCTGCTCCCTCCTCGGTAGGGGAAATGCTTGTGGAATGTATAAGGGCTGATCAATGGCAGGGGCACTACTGACTGTGCGTGAAAGGTGCCTTGGTTACATAGTGGGTGACCTGTCGGACTGCTAACTGCAAGGTCAGTAGTTCAAAACCACCAGCCACTCCCTGGGAGAAAAACAAAGTTTTCTGCTTCCAGACAGCCTTAACAAACAAACAAAAACACCCCATAGGGGCAGTCTGCTGTGTCCTTGAGAGTCACAGGGAGTCCCAATCAACTCCACAGCAATGAGTTGGGTTCGGATTGATTGCTGGCCATTGGTTAGCACTTGGCTGCTAACCAGAAGGTCAGTGGTTTGAACTCACCAGCCTCTTCTGCAGGAGAATGGTGTGGCCGCCTGATTCTCAAAAGGTTGACAGCCTTGGAAACCCGACCCCGATGGAACAGTACAGTGTCCTGTCCATAGTCGGGCCACCACGGCTCTGTGGCAATGGGGTGGGGGGTTGTTGTTTTATTGGTTCCATAAATCTTCTTCATTGCCTTTGATCTCCCACATCTTGCTTGTTTCCTGTTGCACTGGTGTTCCTCGGCCTGCCTGTGGCACCCAGATGGTGGACTGATACCTGAAGGGTACCCGAGGGCAAACGGAAGAGAGCTGTTGTGGCCAGAGGCAGCCTGCCAAGGGCCTCTAAGGGATTAAGCTCTCTGGCTCCTGTGTCCTAGACTCATTCGGGCTGGCTTGGGAAGCCCTGCTTCACAGCCACTGTCCCAGCCTTCCTGGGCGTACATGTCTTCACTGCAGGGCACGTGTCTGTGGTCGTGGTACAATGGAATTGTGTCATTTTAAAAAGGCCTTAGAATGAGGCCTAGAAAAATAGCAGTGAGAAAATCAGTGTGACACTCAGTTGTATGAACTTCAAAACACAAGCAGGACTGCATCCATGATTGGGTTATCTACGTTTGTGGTAGACTAAAGAAAGCAAAAACATTTACAGACAAAAGGCCTGAATACTAGGCACCTACTGGAGCCAGGCCCCAGCAGAAAAACCAGGTTGAAGAAAGAGGTAACTTAAACAGTGTTAGTAAAGCCCAACTTCTTAAGTTGGATACTGGATACATAGAGTTTTATATTAGGATCATATACTTGACACATTTTTGATAGGATATTTCACAGTAAGACTCGATCATAATAGTTCACTGTTGGACTATTATGGACAAAGATGTTACGAATACACTACAATAATTACATTATAACAAATACATTACATGATAATAATAACATTTTAAGATCACAGAAATAACTGAACACCTGTGACACCAGTACCCTAACAGTGACTGTAGTTTATTACTGTTTGCTTTACATTATTATCACAATATATGAATATGGAGCTGATCATCTTTGTTTCCACAGTGGACTAATTGTAGCTGTTAGTTTTGATGACTGAATAATATTCCAGTGAGCAGCTAGGAGCACAATACATTGACCCTTCCTCCGGGGGTGGATGTGTAAGTTATGTCAACTTTTCTGCCATTGTAGGACACCTTCGACGCTCTTAAATTCACCCCGCAGACAATTTGGTAAGCAAAAAGAGCCACACCCTGTCCTTGTGGAATTTAGAATCCGGTTGTATTTTGCATTTCAGCTACATTGACCAGATCTTTTTATGTGTTTACACTTTTTATTTTGAGAGAATTGTAGCTTCACATGCAGTTCTAAGAAATGATAGAGAAGCTCCCACTGCACAGCCAGGAAATTGACATTGATCAATTCAGCCTTATGTAGGTCTCACTAGGTGTGTATGCTCACGTGGTGTGTGTGTGTGTGTGTGTGTGTGTGTGTGTGCGCAGTTACACCCCATGTGTGGATTCATGTGATGTCCTCTGGAGTCCTGGCATAGAACAGTCCCCTTACAAGGACCCCTCCGGTTCTCTTGTACAGCCATAGCTACCTTCCCCCCCCCCCTGCCAACCATGAATCTCGTCTCCATCTCTGTAACTTTTTAATTTAAAGATGTTGGATAATGGGAGCAGACAATATGTAACCTTAAAGGATTCGGCACTGTCCACGCAACGTGATTCCCTTAACATCTGTCCGCGCTCGGCGTGAGCCGTCGTCAGGGCTATTACTGCTGCTCCCGGTCGGGCTGTGGCTGGACCACATCCACCGTGCTGTCCGTAGTCAGTGGCCTCTACTGCTGAGTGCTGCACTGTGACCTCACAGACCACCTTCATGCACTTGTTCAAGGGCACTGGTGCACTGTGACCACACGGACCACCTTCATGCGCTTGTTGAAGGGCACTGGGGCTGTTTCTGATTTTGGACGATTGCAAATAAAGCTCCTGCGCACGTTTTCTGAGATGGGGTCCAGTGCATGGAAAAGCCCACGAGTAGGACTTCAGGGCCCTGCGCCTCGGCCATCTTGGTTCCCGGGTCTGTGCCCACCTCGGGTCACCCTGTTGATGGAACCTGGAGAGGCCCCTACTGAAGGGCACGCTGCCGGGGCTTTAATCGTTTGCGTATCAAAAGGCATGACTCTTACCATTTAGGTGAGTTGTCTTCTTCTCATTCCTTCCTTGTCGGTGTCAAAGCGAAGCTGAGCCATCCCGGGTGTCTGTCTGGAACTTCTGAAGGGGAAACTGAGGGATGGAGCCCTGTCAGCCTCGGTCGTATGGAGAGATTGCTCCAAAGATGATGGGGAGGGTGGGATAGGAGCTGGCACAGAGGGTGGCTCAGATACACCTGGGCTTCAATCAAACTATTCAGTCAATCGCGTACATGTCAAATCTTCAAAGGAAAAAAAACTTGAATAGCAATAGTCTCATTGTACTTGCTAGACGTTTAGAAAGGAACAGGGGCTCAGAACAGAGCCAGCCACGGAGGGAATTGGCTGTTGAGTACGCCAGCCTCTCTAGGCAATGCCCGTGTTTCCCTGTGGACGGGGTGTGTACACACACGCATGGAGGGCTTGTTCTGCGCAGGAGCATGGTCCTAAGTGTGTTTCCAAGATCACCGAAGTCTGACGCAGAAAGTGCACGAACCACCTGGAGAATTCAAGGTGGCTTAGGAACCTCTCTGGTTCCTTAGTGCCTATGGCATTTAATGGATTCGATTTTTACTGCTTTTCGTTCTTTCTTTTAAAGATCATTTTATTGGGGGCTCTTACCACAATCCATACATTAATTGTATCAAGCCTATTTGTACATATGTTGCCATCATTATTTTCTAAACATTTTCTTTCTATTTGAACCCTTGGTATCAATTTCTCTTCCTCCCCACATCCCACCCTTGTAATCCCTTGATACATTATAAATTGTTTTATTTTCATATCTCACACCAACTGCTGTCTCTGTGTGTGTGCATGGTGGGGGGGGTGTAATGTGTCAATCATTTTGAAAGGCTCCCCCTTCCCCCCCCCTTCCTCACCTTCCCTCTACCCTCCTGGTTTCCTACTCCCATCTCTGTACCTGAGGGAGTTATCTGACCTGGATTCCGTGTTTTGAGCTCTTATCTGTACCTGTGCACATGCTCCGACCTAGCCAGAACTGAAAGGCAGGACTTGGGTCATGATAGTGGGGGTGAGGAAGCCTTATGGAACCAGAGGAACATTGTGTGTTTCATCAATGCTATAGTGCGGCACCCTGGTTGACTTATCCCTTCCTTGTGACCCTTCTGTGAGGGGATGTCCATTGTCTTCAGATGGGTTTGGGGTTTCTTCTCTGACCCCCCTCGTTCTCAGCAATATGTTTTGTTTGCATTTTTCTTTCTTTCGAATGAAGGGCCATGGGCTGCCCCTCTCTGGAAGGGCATGAAGCCCAGGGAATCCCTGCGTTGAGTAAGCACGTGCGCTGCCTGGTGGGGCTGACCTCATCAACAGGGATGCAGAGCTGCGCTGCCCAGAGGCTTGGCCTGCAGCAGGAGAGTGGACCACAGGGTGACGCACCATCTGTGTCCTCTCCTGATGCCCCATAGTTGGGGCCCAAGCCACAAAAACTTCATTATCTCAGTCGGCTCTCACTTGTTTCCTCTTTCTGTCTTACTGCTCTTGAGCTCAAGTCTAAAGACTTGAACAAGGAAGGCCAAAGGGCTCTGCGTGGTCCAGCCTCTGTCTGCTCTTCCACACCATCCATCTCTTGGCAGATACACAGGCCACCTCCCGGGTCTCCGCGCGCTCTCATGTGCCTGCCTTCCGTGGTCGGCAGTACCTGCGGTGTTGCTCTGCCCGGAACACCAGCTACTTCCCCTTCCTCGGCCTGTGTTCCCCCACACTCTCAGCACCACTTCCTGATGGACCCCCTCTCTGGCCCGTAAGGTGGGGTTTCGGGCCCATTTTATTTGTGCTCCAGGGACCCTAGTTTCCTCCTTGGCCCTGGTCACTGTTTGCGGTGCTGGTATACTGAATGACCATCTGCTGATACCCATCCTCCCCCCGCCCACACACATACCCCAGGCCTTTGTGGAAATGATACCATCTCATAGTCAACAACTGGTACAGGGTCCGGCATGCAGTGTTCAATAAATATTTGGTTGGTTAATAAATAAAATAGTCATTACCCTCTAAAACATCCTTAACAAGTTTGCCATGGGATTTACTATTTTTGAAATGGACGGAGTGTCCTTCTTTAAAGGCCTAGCTATAAAAGAAAAAAAAAAACCTGCTTATAAAATCTGTGCCCTGGGCCAGAGATCAGTTGACTGTCATCATTTATCTTTCTTCTGTTTCCTTTCAGGTGGGGACCAGGGTTTACTGAACACATTTTTTAGCAGCTGGGCCACCACGGATATCAGAAAACACCTGCCATTTATTTATAACCTCAGCAGCATTTCTATATACTCCTACCTCCCAGCCTTTAGAGCGTAAGTACAGCTGATGTGACCGCCGTCGGGAAGGGTGAGGGGTGGGGGGGATGTATCAGGCACCTCTGTCGCCTGAGGAGGGGAACGGGTGGGCACACACAGTCTCCTGAAAGACGCACTGTCACGGTGGGAAAGACCCTGATGTTCCTGGTTGTCTCATCCGGGAGTCACCCGGACGGCACTCAGCGGTGTGAGGGACACGGTGCAGGTTGCACCTGCCTCGTAATGGAAGGAAACCACACACGAAGGACAGTCCGTTCTGTCCCCAGAAAACGAGCGTTTTTCCCTTCCCCAGGGCGGCTGTGGAGATCAGGTGGATCCTTTGGGTAGCCCCCGCCCTGGTTGTTCAGTTGGTCGCCTGTGTCTCTGGGTGGGAGGCAGGCACTCTGGGGACAGCCCCGTCAGTCCACCCAGAGCCCTGCGTGGTGCGCGGTGTCAACAGCGTTGGGTGGTGGGTCGGGGGCAGTGTTTGGACACGCTTCACGTGGCATGCGGTACGATCGGGTTCAGGATCCAGGACTTGGATGCGGGCAGTGAGCTTGCTGACAAAGGCCCTGGGTGACTGCACAGAGGCCTCTGTGACTGTTGCTCTGTGGGTGCTGTCTTGACAAGCAAGCATCCCTTCCCCGCCCCTCTCTGGAATGGGCATTCCCAGAGACTGCGCCCCTCACCCAAAAGTCTGTCGGTAGTGCCAAGATGCCCGGCGCGCTGAAGCTAGACTCTGTTGGTCACAATCATCACGGACTAGCCAGTTCCTCGCCGCCCTGCATCCTCGAGGGGTGCTTGCAAGGATTAAAGGGAGCAGGCACGGAAAGTGGGTGAGAGAGGGGCCAGCCTGCTTCCACGGAGCACTTGGGCGATGTCAGGTTACTAAACCTCTTGCAGTTTGAGAGGCACGCAGAGCAAGAGGCAGGGAGCCCGTCTGTGGTCTGCCCTTTTTCAGCTCAGAGACTCTGGCCCTGTGGCCCCCATTCCTCCTTTTATAACACAGTCTTGGGGGGCTGGGGGGGGCGCTGCTGTCAGGAGGAAGGGCATTCCTACCCAGAGAGCGTTGAAACCACGGGAGGGACTGCTCTGTGGGTCTTTGTGCCTCTGTCCCTGCCACCGGACTTGCTCTAAGGAAAGCAGCCACAGCCCTGACGTGGTGCAGTGTTGATCCCGTGGGAGCCTGAGCCTCCGGCTCATCTATGCGGGGCTGACACGGTGATGGGGGTTCTGGGAAGGCAGCCTCTGTCTGGTTGATGCCAAGACACAACCGTGAGCAGTGAGCCTCTTCCTGGGTTGTCCTTGGCAATCCCAGCCCCAGCCCGGAGTAGACATTCCTGGGCGATCAGGAAACAAAGCTCCTTTCATTCCTCCTGTTTCCTTAGCCCAGTCCTACCCCTAACTGCTGGGCCGCCATCATGCGCCTGTGTTTCTGTCAGCGCTCACTGGATAAGGGTTATACACATCTCGTGCTCTTGCCTCCCTGTTCTGTGGCCGAGCAACAGACACCCCGCCCCCCGCCCCCGCCCGGCTTGTCAGCTGTGGTCCACGAAAAGCAAGCACGACAAGATTCGCTGTCCCAGGGCGGAGGGCAGGAAGCTCAGCCTCGCCTCTCAGCCCCTGACTGAGTGCACAGTCCCACCTTGCTTGGGAATGTAGACGCCTTCATTTTCACCCTTTCTGCTCATAGCCAACTCGCTCTGCCAGCCTGAGTACTGTACTTGCAAACCACGATTACTCGACCCCTAGCCTGGACTTGTCTACCCCGGGCAGTTGGGTAGCATCTTACCTTCCATTCACTAAATTCAACTTGACAGACAAAACAACGAGATTGGCACGGAGAGCTCGTTTTTCATAGTGTGTGCAGCCCTGCACGGGCTGGCTCCCCGTGCCCTGGGGCGCACGCTGGGAGCTGGGAAGCGCCTTCTCTTCAGTTCCCAGACCAGGCGATCCCAGCGTTTAAAGATGCGTGTTTAGTGACGGGCATCCCTCAGCTTCATCTGCCCTTCCGCCTGGTTCATAGCTAATTCCCACATTGTCAATGCCCTGGTTATCTATGGCCACTGCAACCGCAATCACAGAAGTGATGGCTTCGACCCACGGCAATGTATTATTTTTTATTGGTTGGGGTTTTGATACAGATGGCCCATCATTGCATATTTCAGTCACGTCAAGTAGAATTGTACAACTGCTGCCACAGTCAGTTTCCAACCATCCTTTTTCTACACGGACTCCTTGACATCGTCTCCCTTTTACCTGGCCCCCCACCACCACTGGACCCCCTTCCAGCCTGAACCCCTTATTCTACTTGTGGCCCTATCCATTCATCAATCCCGGGCTTCATGTACCACAAGACGGAAAAGCATGTAACACAGCTTCCAGAGGGCGACCCCCACTGACCTAACACCTCTGAGACACACTCTACTAGGAACAAACGAGACCGAGCAAAATGATGCACGCCCAAACACGGGACATTCTGGAAACCCAGACCAGGTCCAGCCTGCCTCCTAGGGGGAGGGACTCGACTGACAGAGTGAGGAGCGTGTCTGTCACCGTCTGGGAATTCAGGGCACCAGCTCCAGGGACGGTCGGTCTCTCTCTCTCTCTGTCTCTCTCTCTCTGTCTCTCTCCCTCTCTCTCTCTGTCTCTCTCTCTCTCTCCCTCTATGGCGACACAGCTCAGAGCGATGCCTGGCTCACCCACTGGGCGTGGCTTCTTGGGAACGCGGAAACTGGATCAGACAGTCCATTTTCCCGTGTCCGCTGTGAGCTGGGGTTTCTCGTGGAGACCCGCTCCAAAGCTCTTCCCCACCTCATATGGAAGGACGGGAAGGCAGGTAGCTCACATCCCATTTCTGCTCCCTGTTGAGGTTAAACACTGTCCGGTCTTCTCGGCTGAAGCCACATCTCGCCAGCATCTGAGCTGCCTCAGTTAGTGCTCAGAGAGCCCTGTGGAAGAGCGCCTCCTCTGGGGGCCCAGAGACACCATGGTGACCCGGCCAACCTGAGGGCCGCATGGCCAGAAGCGAGACAGTGGAGGGAGCCCCTGGCTGGTTTGTTCTCTTTTATGGCACCGTTACACACAGGACACGGCACACAGCGATCTCATTTCTACAAGTTCAGTGACACAGATTACATTTCCTTTCAAGTGGTACAACCGCTCGTGACTCTCCTTCCCAACCTCTTTCACAGACCCAGTGCGCTCAAGCCCAACCCTCCTCTCTCCCCACCGCTTCTGGCCCCGCTCACCTGTGGCTGTACATCCCTGCTGACTTCATGTTTTAGAAACACGCCCGTTGCCGTTCAGTGGGCTTCCACTCCCAGGGACCCTGTAGGGCAGAGCAGACCTGCCTCGTCGGGCTCCCTGGGGTGTGAATCTTGACGGGGACCGACGGTCACATCTTTCTCCCGTGGACCACCCGGGGGATTCAAATGACCAACTTTGGGGTTCGCAGTGAGCACTAAACCCTGTGTCACCAGGGCTCCATTTATGTGTCAGAGTGTTAGAATATTAGTATTTGTCCTTTTTCATAGTTACAGTAAGGGCAACTTAGGCTTCATGGGAGAAGAAATAAAACATGTTTTCTCTTGAACTCCAAGAAACCAGGGGGGTCACCAAGGCAGCACTGAGATTTGAGGGCCCAGAATCATAGAAGCCTGGGTACTTTTAGGACATTGGATCCTTGCTATGACATGATGTTCCACTACAGAATGGCCTAATAAGAATTAAACTTCTAATGTGAATTTCAGCTATGACCGAGCACATATGATGTCTTTTTATGTGCATCATTGGACTAAAACAGATCGTAATGCAAACACAATAATTATATCACTTGGAATAAACACTCATACATAGTTTCTAAAAAATCCATATGTTGTATAATAGAGGCTCCTCTTGAACACATCCTAATTGGAGAACTAAAATATATAGCTTACTGATGTATGCGTTGATTTTTAGTATATAGGGGACATGTTCAAAAGTGAAATACTGTTTCTGAAAGTAATCAGCACGGGGTTTGGGACACAGTCATTTGTCTCGGCGTAATCCTGCACGGACTCATTTCCTTACTCACAAGGCGTGCACATAAGGCCACGAGTCATTCGGGTAGGACGGACCAATCGGGAATCAGCAATTTCTAATCCAGTGGCTGGAGTCCACATTTTAGACACAGGTTTCCAGCGTTAACAAGCGGTTTCAGAAGGAAGGGTTCCCCGTGGCTCCTGCTTGGGGACGGTCCCTTGTAGCTGGAGCCCAAGGTCGACAGCAGTGGACGCGGCTCAGGCTACACCTCTGGCTGGGGGTCCTTTCCTGAGAGTGCCAGAGTCTAGAGCAGTGGTTCTCAACCTGTGGGTCTCAACACCTTTGGGGGTCAAACGACCCTTTCACAGGGGTCACCTAAGACTATCAGAAAACACGTATTTCCGATGGTCTTAGGAACCGAGACACCGCTCCTCTGTCTCCAGGCAGGTCTGCCCACATGCAGATACACCCACATGCGAGTACCGGTGTGAAGACTGTTACCCATGCTACACCGTGCTTCAAGACACAGTTTCACTGATTTGTCATTAGAAATAAGTATTTCGCAATATATGGTTACATATTGTTTTTGTGATTAATCACTATGCTTTCATGATGTTCAATTTGTCACAATGAAAATACATCCTGCCTATCAGATATTTACATGATGATTCATAACACTTGCAAAATGACAGTGATGAAGTAGCAACAAAATACTTTCATGGTGGGGGGGAGGGGGCTCACCACAACGTGCGGACCTGTCTGAAAGGGTCGCGGCATTAGGAGGGCGGAGAACCACTGCTCTACAGAATGATCCTGCCTCTGCTTTTTCCAGGATCTCAAAAGGACTTTCTCACATTGGCCTCACGCAAGGGCTAGGCAATGGCATGTTTAACAGACACTCGACAAAATCAGAGATTAGTCCTGTGGAGTGTAGAATTTGGTTTGTGCCTAATGCTGTGTTTTCGCTTTTGATTCAGATGATTCGTATTATAATG